CGCGCATAGTACGGCGGAGAGCTTCCGAAACGAGTGGGTCATACAGGTCACAGGAGAGGTCGCACCGAGGCCTGAGGGCACAGAGAATCCAGGCATAGCGACGGGTGCGATCGAACTCGTCGCCTCAGGTGCCAGCGTTCTCAACGAGTCCTTGACGCCGCCCTTCTACATCAACGAAGAGTCCGATGTCGAAGAGCTCCTTCGCATGAAGTACAGGTATCTTGACCTCAGACGACCGGGCATGAGGGACATGCTGGTTCTCCGGCACAAGGTGGTCAAATTCATTAGGGACTTCTTGGACGAGCGCGCCTTCCTCGAAGTCGAGACGCCCATTCTCATCAAGAGCACACCAGAAGGCGCGCGCGACTATCTCGTGCCCAGCCGCCTGTATCCAGGAAGCTTCTACGCGCTCCCACAGTCTCCACAGCAGCTCAAACAGCTGTTGATGGCAGCGGGAGTCGAGAAGTACTTCCAGATTGCAAGATGCTTCAGGGACGAAGACCCACGTGCCGACCGACAGCCGGAGCACACGCAGCTCGACCTCGAGATGAGCTTCGTTGAAGAAGATGACGTACTCGGGCTGATAGAAGAACTCTACACCGCGCTTATCGACACGGTCATGCCTGAAAAGCGCGTGCTGAGGCCGTTTCCCAGACTGACATATGCAGAGTCGATGGCGTCATACGGCACAGACAAGCCAGACCTGCGTTTCGGGATGGAAATGGCTGACCTCTCCGATATCGCGGTATCCACGGACTTCCGCGTGTTCACGTCTGCTGTGGAGAGCGGCGGCATAGTCAAAGGATTCAGCGCTCCGGGTTGCGCCTCATACTCACGACGCCAGACGGATGAATTGATCGATTTCGTCAAGGAGTGGGGCGCGAGAGGTCTGGTCACGATAGCTCTTACGGGCGAGGGTTCCATCAACGATCTGACCGAAGACCAGGTGAGGTCTGCGGCCGCCAGATTCCTGTCGCTCGATCAGATCAAGGAGATCGCCAGGAAGACCGGCGGGGATATCGGCGACATGGTGCTCGTAGTCGCTGGGCCCGGGAAGACAACAAACCAGGCGCTCAGCAGCCTGCGACACGAGATGGGACGCCGACTGGAACTGACCGACCCCGACCTTATCGCTTTCGCATTCGTAACCGACTTCCCACTTTTCGAGTGGAACGAGAACGAAGAGCGATGGGACGCTATGCACCACGCGTTTTCCATGCCAAAATACGGTACCGAGAAGTTCATCGAGTCAGACCCTAGCCGGGTGATCGGCCGCCTGTACGATCTCGTCGCGAACGGACACGAACTCGCCAGCGGCAGCATAAGGATTCACACGAGGGAACTCCAGGAGAAGGTGTTCGAGGTTCTTGGCTACACGAAGGACGAAGTCGCAGAGCGGTTCGGCCAGCTTCTCACCGCGTTCGAGTACGGGGCACCACCTCACGGAGGAATAGCACCCGGAATCGACAGGCTACTCATGGTCCTTTTACAGACCGACAACATCAGGGACGTGATAGCCTTCCCAAAGACCCAGAATGGGATAGATCCGCTCTTCGGGGCTCCCGGCGAAGTTGACCAAGGACAGCTGGATGAGCTCAAGTTGAAGGTGTTGGCCGAGTAGCTACACGGAGCGGTCAAACGGTCACTAGCCGCACATGATGTGTGTTATCATTGTGACAGATTTCGCTAACCGACGAGGGAACGGATTTGCCTCCACTCAGCGCAGAGGATAGCACCCGGCTGCGACACGCGATCAACAACCAGCGTCGTCCCACGGTAACTGTTCTTTCGTCATTGCTCGCAGTCCAGGACGAGCTTGAATACATCCCGGACGAGGCCATAGAAGAGGTCGCCGTCCTGAACGAGACGACCATCAACGAAGTCTGGGGAGTTGCTACTTTCTACACTAACTTCAGGTTCACACCTCCCGGTGCGCACACTGTGGAGATCTGCTGGGGTCCAACCTGCCATCTCAAGGGTGCGTCCCATATACTCCAGCGCATCATGGAACAGTTGGGGCTGGATGACGAGGGCGAGACAGAGGACGGCAACATCTCATTTAAGTTCAACACGTGCCTCGGGGCCTGTTCGGTCGCGCCGGTAATGAGCGTAGACCACCACCTGATCGGGCGAGTGACTGCCGATTCGGCATCCAGCCGAGTGCAGGAAGTGCAAAGCGCGTAACATGATTCGGTCTGGCGCGAACAGCGGTCGGCAATGACCACTTACGAAGAGATCAAAGAGACCGCCGACGAACGTTGGCAGACCCTAACCAGTGGGCCAGACCCTTGGATAAGGGTCGGCACTGCCATTTGCGGACACTCGGCCGGCGCTTTTGACGTCATAGACGCCCTTAGAGTCGAGTTGGAGCGTCGCGAGATCACGGCGAACATAGATGAGGTCGGATGTCTCGGCCTTTGCTACGCGGAACCACTGATCGACATCCTGCGACCCGACTCCGGGTCTCGACTCTTCTTTGGCAACGTCACGCCCGACGATGTCGGCTCGATCGTGGAGGCCTACCTGGTACAGGGAACGATACCGAATGAAAAAGTGCTCGGCTATCTGGGCGAAGAGCCCCTCCAGGGAGTGCCAGAGCTAAATGAAATCCCCGGCATTGGCCGTCAGCAAAGGATAGCGCTGCGAAACGCCGGTAACATCGCGCCCGGCGACATATACCAGTATGTCGCCAACGGCGGCTACGCAGGCGTCCACAAGGCGATCACTCAGATGGAGCCTGACGACGTCATCAAGGAGATGACGGACTCGGGGCTGAGAGGTCGGGGTGGAGCCGCGTTCCCGACAGGCATCAAGTGGAGCTTCATGGTGAGGTCGCCCGGACCTCCCAAGTACATGCTCTGTAACTGCGAAGAAGGTGATCCCGGCGCGTATAACGACAAGGGTATTCTCGAGAGCGACCCTCACACACTGCTCGAAGGGCTGATGATCGGCGGGTACGCGACGCGGGCCACAAACGGCATCGTCTTCATTCGCCACGGGCACGACGGCCCAATTGACCGCACCGAAGAGGCCATCAAGCAAGCATACGAAGCCGGCATTCTGGGCAAGAACATCCTCGGTACCGACTTCAGCTTCGATATCGAAGTCGCTCTCACGGGTGAATCCTACGTCGCAGGTGAAGAGACTGCACTCATGGAGGCCATAGAGGGTAAACGCGCCCAACCGCGCTTCCGTCCGCCCTTCCCCTGCCGCATTCGGCGTCTGGGGACACCCATCGACCATCAACAACGTCAAGACATACTCCTACGCGCCTGAGATTATCTCGCGCGGGGCCGAGTGGTTCAGTTCCATAGGCGTGAACCGCAGTACGGGCACAGCAATAATCTGCCTGACCGGAAACGTCGAGTACCCCGGTCTGTACGAGGTTCCGATGGGCCTGACCCTCGGAGAAATAATCAACGACATCGGAGGCGGCGTGCCAGAGGGCAAGCAGCTAAAGCTACTCCAGACCGGAGGGCCACTCGGAGGTGTCCTCGGCTCGGACAGCATGTCGGTACACCTGGATTTCGACGAGATGCGGGACGCGGGGGGCCCATTCTCGGATCAGGCGGTATCATCGTCGGCGACGAGGACGTGTGCGCCGTGGATCTCACGCGCATATTGGTAGCCTTCTGCCAGTACGAGTCGTGCGGGAAATGCTTCCCGTGCAGGCTTGGAATGGAGCACCTTCTTGAGATTACAGAGCGAATCGCCCGCTGTGAGAGCCGTCCAGGCGACCTGGACCTTATGAGGTCGGTCGGCACTACGATGGAAGCAAGTTCACTGTGCGGCCACGGACAGCTCGGATTCGGTCCTATCAGATCCGCGCTGACACACTTCGAGTCCGACTTCATCGCCCACATCGAAGAGCGCAGGTGTCCAACAGGCAGCTGCCTCGGACCGCACATAGCACCGAAGAACACCAGACCATACGCCCTCGACTTCGTACCCGGAGCGCAGAATGGCTGACGACATCACGATCACAATTGACGGTCAAGAGATTCCCGCGCAGCCTGGTCAGATGATCATCCAGGCTGCGATGGACGCGGGGATGTACATCCCGTATCTGTGCTACTACCCAGGGATGAAGCCATTCGGGGCATGCCGAATGTGTGTGGTGACAGCCGAGGCTCCAGGTCCGGATGGGAGCTACCGCGCGCTGCCGGGCTCTCCGGCATCTTGCACTACCCCCATCTCCCCAGGCATGAACGTTACAACGAACAGCGGTGAGCTACAGGGCCTGAGAAAGGGGCATCATGGAGCTCTTGCTCTCAGAGCACCCCCACGGATGCCTAACCTGTCACAGAGTCGAACTATGCGGACCAGCAGACATCTGTCTCCGCCACGTCTCCGTCAACGACCGGTGCGTCACCTGTCCCAAGAACGAGCGCTGTGAGCTCAAGGACACGGTGCGGTACCTGGAAATGGAGATGGATACTCCGCTTACCTACAACAATCGCCATCTGCCGCTCGCCACGAAGGATCCCTACTGGGACATGGACATGAATCTGTGCATCGTCTGCGCGCGCTGTGTGCGCGTGTGTGACGAGGTCCGTGGCGACTCTGCGCTGACCCTGGAGATGCGCTCCGGAAGGAGCCTCATCGGAACATCGCAGGGCACCAGTCTACTGGAGTCGGGCTGCGAGTTCTGCGGGGCTTGCATCGATGTCTGCCCAACAGGCGCTCTTGTCGAGCGCGACTACAAGTGGGACAAGGCGGTCGAGACCGTCAACACCATCTGCCCTCACTGCCCTGTGGGCTGCGAGATGACCCTGGAGATCAACAAGCGCGATCGAATGATCCGCGCAATACCCGACCGCCAAGCGGCGGCCAACCGGGGACAGGCCTGCTTCAAAGGTAAGTTTGGGCTCGAATTTGTGAACCGAAGAGACCGGATCCGGACTCCCCTCGTCCGCAGGGACGGGCAGCTTCAGGAGGCCACATGGCCAGAGGCCCTCGATCTTGTCGCAGAGAGACTTACGGAGTACAGGAACGGTCAATATGCCATCGTGGTCTCGCCTCGTGCGACGAACGAGGACGCATATATCGCCCAGAAGTTTGCGCGAGCGATCATGGGCACAAACAATGTCGACATGGCTTCCAACACCCGTCCTGGGATGGTGAACCCCCTGGTCGACCAGTTGGGATACGGTGCAGCCACAAACTCGATATGGGAGCTGGAGTCCTCCAAGCGATTCCTGGTCGTATCTTCCAATATGACCGAAGAACAAAACGTCGTGGCGATTCCGATCAAGAAAGCTGTGCTTCATGGAAGCGCGACGCTCGTAGTGATAGACCAGCGCGAAACTGAGTTGGCGCGCCATGCCAAAGTCTGGCTACGGCCCAAACCCGGCAGCGAGACTGCCTTGATTGGCGGAATTATCAGGGCCATCTGGGACCAATCGCTCGATGACCATGAGTTCCTGTCCGAATACGTAGACGACGTTCAGACGTTCAGGAACTCCGTCATCCAGGAGTTCGACCTTACGCGCGTCGAGCGTTTAACCGGTGTTCCCCAGGACGACATTAGGGCGGCGGCAACAACATTCGCAGAAGAGAAACCCGGTGCAATTCTCTACGGACTGGAGACCCTTCCCAAAGGCACGCGGGAAGCGTGCTCGAGGGCCCTAGTCAACCTTGCTCTAGTAACAGGCAACATAGGAAGGGAATCCTCCGGGATTTACCCACTGCGTACCGGCGCGAACGACCAGGGAGCCCAGGATGTGGGCTGCGCCCCGAACCTCCTCCCCGGACAGCGTCCAATTGAGCGCGAGCAGAGCCGCCAGAGGTTCTCCCGCGCGTGGTCAGCCAGTATCCCAGAGACTACTGGCGTAGGGGTGCGTGAAGTCCCTCAAGCTGTGGAGTCAGGCCTGGTCAAAGCTGTCCATGTAGTTGGCGAGAGCCCAACGTACTCTAACGGCGATCTTTCCGGCTTCATGGAAGCGCTAGATCAGGCAGAGTTCGTGGTTGCCCATGCCACGTTCAACAGCCACATCACAGAACACGCCGACGTCGTACTTCCGTCTCTCACGTTTGCAGAGCGTCTGGGCACCTACACCAACCTCGAACGCCGGGTGCAGCTGCTGAGACCCGCGCTCCGTCCCAAGGGAGACGGCGATGCCGACTGGCGGATCTTGGCTCAGATCGCCCGACGAATGGACGGTGCAGGATTTGACTACGCCCAGGAAGAGCAGATCTTCGACGAACTGAACAATCTCGTTAGCATCTACGGCGGCATCACGTACGGAAGACTCGAAAGCGGAGGGCTCCAATGGCCGTGTCTGGCAGCCGACATGGCCGATACTCCCATTCTGTACGAAGACACCTTGGAATCAAACAAGCCAAAGCTGGCGGCCATGTCTCTGGAAGTCGGTGATACGCACGCAGACGACGAGTATCCTCTCCTACTGGCCCACGGGCGCGTCCTGCACCAGCCAGAAGAGGAACTGGAAATCATCCAGATCAACGGCAAGAACGCGATTCGGCGTGACGAGACCATTCAGCTTCATCCCGAAGACGCCGCGGAACTCGGCATCAAGGCCGGCGAGTGGGTCGAGGCCGTATCCGCTCGCGGTCGAGCAGCCGGAATCGCGGATCTAACCGGACCGCAGAGCGGCCTTGTATCGATCACCACTCTGTTCGGCGAGCTCGCCTCCGATTTGGCGGCGAGCGAAGAACCCGACCCCATGCTGAACGCACCGACACTGCCACTAATTCCGGTCCGGGTGGCCCATCTGGCCGTCCAGGCCGCAGCAGACTAAATCTCAGGGAGTAAACTGACTTTGACGACGACCCGCAGGAGACCCCAGCGTCCCAAGCTTGCTACCACAAAAATCACTTCCCGCGTGGACACTACCCACGATCTGTGGAAGGTGTGGATCGAAAAGCCGGACGGATTCCAGTTCAAGCCCGGTCAGTATTGCACGATAGGTGTCGACGGAATCGAACGAGCCTACTCGATCGTGTCCGCGCCATTCGAAGACGAACTCGAACTGTTCGTAGAGCTCGTCCCCCCTCCGGACGGAAACCTCACCCCGCTTCTGCACGAACTGGGAGTAGGAAAGGCGGTCACGATTCGTCCCCGCGCCAAGGGCATCTTCGTCCTGAACCCCAGCCTCCCTCAACAGATGTTCGTGGCAACCGTAACCGGTGTAGTTCCTTATGTGAGCATCATCCGACAGTACCTCCACGAAGGCAGTTCAGGCCATCACTTCCATGTGCTGATGGGCGCGAGCTACGCGGACGAGTTTGCCTACGATGAGGAGCTGCGACGGCTGTCTGAGGAACACTCGGACCTAATCACCTTCGTACCGACGGTCAGCCGTCCTGACGAAGAGCCGAACGCCAACTGGCACGGTGAGACCGGTAGGGTCAACACAATCGTAGAAGCGTACGCCGAACGCAACGGGCTGACTCCTGAGGACACGATCGTGTACGCCTGCGGACACCCCGGGATGATCGAGGATGTCAAAGACCGGATGATCCCGAAGGGATACAAGGTCGAAGAAGAGCGCTTCTGGAAGGACGACTGAGGCCCAAACACTCGTCGTAGGTCACCTGCCACGGGACTCGTCTCGGCAGTCTCTCGACGGTTCACGTAACGTATTCCGCTTTCAGCCTTGAGACCGTGCGGCGTAAAATGGAGCCGGGATAATCAGAGCATGACCACCCCGGCACGCAGGCAATACCTGCGCATCAAAAAGGAGCATCAGGACGCCATCCTACTATTCAGGATGGGCGACTTCTACGAGACCTTCGACGACGACGCCCGCGTTATTTCCCGCGAACTTGAGATAGCACTGACGTCCAGGGAGTTCGGCGCGGGCTCCAGGGTGCCGTTGGCGGGCATCCCGTACCACGCGCTGGAGCCGTACCTCGCCAGGCTCATCAGGCAGGGCTACAAGGTAGCCATCTGTGAGCAGACTTCCGACCCCGCCAAGTCCCGCGGTCTGGTGGACAGGGAAGTGGTGCGCGTAGTCACTCCGGGTACCATCGTCGAAGAGACGCTGCTGGACGGCAAGTCCAACAACTACCTGACCGCGGCCGTACTGGATGGTGACCTCGCCGGCATAGCCTACGCGGACATTACTACAGGTGAGTTCGCGACCACGCAGACGTCGGCGGCAGAGCTGGCCGTGGAGTTGGTCAGACTCGAACCAGCCGAGCTCCTGGTTATTGACGAGTCCACTTCCGTAGATGTCGGAAGGGACACCACGGTGGCTCCCATTGGGCCAGAGCCTTTCGACCTCGACTGGGCGACGGAGTCGCTGCAGCGTCACTTCAAGGTGACCAGCCTCGAAGCGTTTGGCTGCGACAGACTGCCCCTAGCCCGTAAGGGCTGCGGGCGCGATTATCGACTATCTGACTACCACTCAGGGGCCGACATCGGCGCAGCTAGCCACTCTGCGTACTTATTCCACCGAGCGTCACATGGTGCTCGACCCTCAAACGCGACGCAATCTCGAACTATTCGAAGGAGGCCGATGGGGTGATACCTCCGCCTCTCTCCTCTCGGTGCTCGACCGAACCAGGACCTCCATGGGTGGACGTACTCTGAGATCGTGGGTCGGTCACCCTCTTCTGGACCTCGAAGAATTGCAAAAGCGGCAGGGAGCAGTCACCTGGTTCCACAGGAGCGGCTTGCGCAGGGAGCGCGTCATTGCGCTTCTGGACACCGTCTCGGATATACAACGCCTGCTGAATCGCGTGCGTGCGTTCGGCGCCACACCGCGCGATCTGGTGTCACTTGCGGAGAGCCTCGAGGCTGGCCCGCACATGAAGGGGATCCTGGACGCGGACGATGACGCGCAGGCTGTCGAGTTCATCTCCAACGGAATCCGGGACACGTCTGAAGTCGTAGCGCTGATCCGCTCGGCAATTGCCGACGATCCTCCTGTGTCGCCTGGAGACGGCAGGGTAATCCGTCCCGGGTTCTCATCGGACATGGACACTACCCGCGAAACGACGCTCAACGCTCAGCAATACATCGCGAATCTGGAGTCGCGGGAGCGGGAACGCACGGGCATCAAGTCTCTCAAGGTCGGGTACAACAAGGTTTTCGGGTATTACATAGAGGTCACCAACTCCAATCTCGGCGCGGTTCCCGACGACTACGTCCGTCGCCAGACACTTGTCGGCGGCGAGCGGTACATCACTCCAGAGATGAAGGAATACGAGTCGCGAGTGCTGAACGCTCAGGACCGCATGGCAACACTGGAGACAGAACTGTTCCGAAGCGTGTGCGCGCAGGTCGCTGAGCACACTGGCGCGATCTCTGAGACGGCCGAGGCTATCGCGCTGATTGACGTGTTCTGCTCCCTCGCCGATGTCGCCTCCATGCACGACTACGTGAAGCCAGAACTGAGCGAATCGGACGCCATCGTCATCCGGCAGGGACGCCACCCTGTTGTCGAGAGGGTGCTCGACGCCGGAGACTTCGTACCCAACGACACCGAACTGGACTGTTCCGAAAGCCAGCTCGCCATCGTCACCGGGCCAAACATGGCGGGGAAGTCGACGTTCATACGCCAGGTGGCGATACTGGTGCTGATGGCGCAGATCGGCAGCTTCGTGCCAGCCGAGTCCGCGTCGATGGGCCTCGTGGACAGGATCTTCAGCCGTGTCGGCCTCCAGGACGATCTGGCCCTGGGACAGTCCACGTTCATGGTCGAGATGGTCGAGACGGCATCGATCCTGAACCACGCTACCAACAGGTCGCTGATAATCCTGGACGAGATCGGACGCGGCACCAGCACTTACGATGGACTGGCGATAGCCCGAGCTGTCGCGGAGTACATACACAGCCATCCACGCCTGGGATGCAAGACGCTGTTTGCGACTCACTACCACGAGCTAACCCAACTGGCCGACAGTCTGCCGAGGGCACGCAACTTCAACGTAGCCGTGTCCGAGGAGCAGGGCAGGATAGTATTCCTCAGGAGGATTGTCCCAGGCGGTGCCGACCGCAGCTACGGTATACACGTGGCAGCAGCTCGCTGGGGATGCCAAACGCCGTGGTCAACCGGGCGTGGACAGTCCTGAGCGACCTCGAGTCGCTGGACACGAACGTCGCGCGCGCTGCGCGGAGAAACGCGGGTGGGAATCATCCTGCTCAACTAGCGCTTATACCGATGTCGTCCCCTGCCCTGGACGCGCTTCGTGAGATCGACGTGTCGTCTATCACACCCATCGAGGCGATCAACAAGCTCTACGAGCTACAAGAGCGCGACAGAGGCGCCGGGCAGGACTGACTCCATCACAGGTAGGTTCATCGATTTCTCGTGGGGCGGATCACGAACCGCCCTTACCAACGTGCGTTTACCCCGCCATCCTTGACGCTAGATGGGGCGCGTACTATTCTAGCGATGCCGGACGACCTCCGAGCATCATGCAGCAACTGAACCAGCGAGGAGCGAGACACATGACGTTGACAGCGCTACCCACCGATCCGGCAGAAGTCCGTGAGCTAATCAGGGATGGGAGGCTGGTGCAACCGACCGCCGGATTCGCGCCCGGGCGTGTGCAGGCGAACCTTGCGATACTGCCCAGAGACCTCGCCTTCGACTTCCTGCTGTTCTGCCAGCGCAACCCGAAGCCGTGTCCACTGCTGGAGGTGATCGAGCCAGGGGAGGTCGAGCCATCCGAGTTCGCACCCGGGGCCGACATCCGCTCCGACATCGCGCTCTATCGCATCTATGAACACGGCGAAATGACCGCTGAGGTCGAGGACATATCAGAGTACTGGCGCGACGACCTAGTGTCGTTCCTGCTGGGGTGCAGCTTCTCTTTCGAGACTGCCATGTCCAGGGCTGGCATACCTCTGAAACACATCGATCAGGAGAAGAGAACGTGTCGATGTTCATCACGAGCATCCCAACAACTCCCGCAGGGGCATTCTCAGGGCCAATGGTCGTATCGATGCGCGCGATCAAGCGCGAGCAGATCGTCAAGGCCGTCCAGGTGACCTCGCGATTCCCCGCGACGCACGGCGCACCGATCCACATAGGCAACCCCGAGGCCATTGGCATCACAGACATCTACCAGCCCGACTTCGGCGAGCCGACCGACTTCGAGGACGGCGAAGTGCCCGTCTTCTGGGCGTGCGGCGTCACGCCTCAGGCGGCAGCCATGCAGTCCCGCCCGCCGCTTATGATTACCCACGCGCCGGGCCACATGTTCGTCACCGACAAGAGCGACGAGGACATGTCTGCCCTTTAGGGCCAGCAAACCGATCAGTATCTGGAGAAAGACAGGTCCCGCGAGACCGCCCAAAGGGAGCATTCAGTGACCATAGAAGACATCATCCTCGACCGGGACCGGCGCGGGATCTCGAAACTCAGACCCCACCTTGCGTCAAACTTTGCCACTGAAGCCGCACAGCTCATCCTGGACAATCCGGGCACTGCCATCATCGTAACCGGCTTCTACATCCTTGACGCGGGCTACGCGGAGACCGACGGACCTCCAGGCGCTGTCGTCATCGGCAGCGCGCTAAACCAGCTTGGGTACGAGGTCGTCCACGTCACAGACCGCTACGCCTCTGACATCATGGACAAGACGGGCGGCGACTACTCCAGAGTGGTCGAGTTTCCCGTCGTTGATGACGCCGCCAGCATAGAGTTCGCCAAGGGTGTTATCGACGACCTCAATCCATCGGTCGTGATCGCCATAGAACGCTGCGGACTCACAGACGAAGGCAAGTACCGCAACATGCGCGGAAGGGACATCACCGACTATAACGCCCGGATCGATCACATCTTCCACGCGGACATCCCCTCGGTGGGCATTGGCGACGGCGGCAACGAGATCGGTATGGGCAACCTTTCCGAGGAGGTTACTCAGGTCGAGTCGCTGGTCAAGATACCGTGCGTCACGCAGACTTCCAAGCTGATGCTGGCCAGCGTGTCCAACTGGGGCGGCTACGGACTCGCTGCAGCGCTCTCCGAACTTTCCAGCAGGAACCTGCTCCCATCCATCGAGGAAGAGCAGGCTCTCCTGAAGCAGACCGTGGACCTCGGCGCTGTGGATGGCATGAGTCCGCGCTCGCGAAGAGTACAAGGCGGACCGCACGCTGGAAAACCGTCCCCTCCGTCTGCACAGACGGGAAAATGGACACAGAAAACAGCGAGACTGTCTCGAGGCGCCTTCTACGACGATCTCGCTATCCATAAGAGGTAGTCGTCTGAGCTGGGATATGGATTGGCAAGGCAGTCCCGGTCTGCGACAAGGAGAAATGGCGATATGTATTGAGGAGGGAATACATCACACAACGACCTATCACCCCTCATCTCTATCTCAAGCAGGAGATGAGGAACAGTCTATGTGAGACCATTCCTGTTGAGGACGTTACACGCGTCCAAACCGCGCGCGTCATGGCACACCGTAAGGCAAAATTGGCTCACGCAGCAATTCGCCTCGCAGGACAGGCAGAGACCCTACATTGGCTCCTGGAGCCGCAGTTGCTGTCTAGAATTTCTCGAGTGAAAACACCGCGGAGCAGACGTAGTACTCCTGTATCTCAACAGCTGATTCAGGGCGAGCAGGCGCATTCTACGGTGGAACGCCCGTGGTATGGTAATTTCCGTTTTCATGCTGGCCCTGATGTCCCTCACCGTATTCCAGGGACTCGGCACTTACCTTGTCGCGCTTGAACGCGGTACGGTCGGATGGAGCGACACGCAGCTACCCAGTTGCCATATCTCGCTGGCGCGCAGCGAGAACTGGAGCGTGCGTACTCGGTCCCTTCGAAGGCTGGTTGATAGACAAGCTCGGCAACAGGACGATGATCCTCATTGGCTACGTTGTCATGGGTATCGGTATCTATGCGTGGTTTTCCCAGCACCAGATGTATCTTGCCACGCCTTGGTCTGATGGCTGGGTGGAATGTGATTGACTCCTAGGACGCAGCAAGTTAGAGGCTCGTGTCACTTCTACGTAGAAGCCATCAGCGATGCATCACGCTCTGGGCTCGCGGTCTAGGCGGAGGCGCTAGCCATGATCAGACCGTCATTGCGCTTACAGGCTTGCGAACACACTGGTCGTGTGTCGAAAACGGTCGCTGGCAAGCGCACGGCATAGTGCTGGTGAGTCCACCTCGGCGGTGACCTCGTCACTTGCTGCCTGGGGAGTGGGAGTGTGACAAGTCACGGCTTGCAGGTTACGACGCTCGTTATCGGTATCTTCCTGCTTGCAACCGTGGGTCCTGTGGTGAAGGCTGTCCGCAATCGCCCCGAGGACATGGGACTGACACCCGACGGCGACCGTAGCCCCATGGTCGGCAGCCAGTCGAAGACCGGCTCGAACGCGAATGACGACGAACCCGACTTCACCGTCAGGCAGGCCCTGAGGACCAGTGCATTCTGGACGCTCACAATTGTCCATCTCTCTTCCACCATATCCATCGTCACCCTCTCGATTCACCTGGCACCCAAACTGACGGACATGGGTTTCTCTCTCACGTCGGCGGCCTTAGTGCCGGTCGTATACACGTCGGTCGCCCTCCCCGCGCAATTCATCGCCGGCTTCGTGGCGGACAAGTTCCCCAAGCCGCTGGTCACTTGTGTGTTCCTCGTGTTCCAGGCCGCCGGTATTCTCGTGATAGCCTTCGCGGAATCGGCGCCCATGGCCTACCTGTTCGCTGTGCTCTACGGAATCGGCTTTGGAGGTCGCATTCCCCTACTCACGGCCATCAGGGGCGAGTACTTCGGACGCAGGGCATTCGCCACAATCATGGGCCTGTCGCAGTTCCCCAACAACATCGCGATGATCTTCGCTCCCCTGTTCGCGGGTTTCATGTATGACCGCTACGACTCCTACTTCATTCCGTTCCTCGCCTTCTCGGTGCTCGCCTTTCTGGGCGCGCTCCTAATGTTGACGGTGAGGAGGCCAGAGGTTGGCCCAGACCTCGACCGCCAGGCAGCAGGAAGCCGCAGCGGACTAGCCATGCAGGTCCTGGGCCGGGAGCTGGTTGATCCATTCACGGAGTTCTGGGAGTCGGTCACGCATGAGCTTCCAGTGGACGCCGATGCAATCGAACGCGGTCTGACCCCGGTTTTCGGCGACCAGGGAGTAGAGTTCGCAGGCTCAGCGCCACGCTGGATGTCGCTGCTGACGACGATCTCGCCTATCACGTCGCGCACGAGCTGGCGCATACACTGATGCGTGAGCAAGGCTACCCCAAGACCGTGAGGGGCGTCGGATACCCTGCCGACTCCGCGGAAGCCAGGGTTGGGGAGGACCTCGAGGAGATGGTGCTGCACCCGTCGCTGGAGTCGATACTCGAGCCGTTTGGGTTCAGGCACGATTTCATAGTCCGTAACATGGCGTCAGGGGCCTTGCAAGGACTCCAGTCAGCTCCCGTTCCAGAATACGGCACGCCATGGCACTTCACATGGTCCATCCGTTTCTGCATGCTGCAGATGGAGCTTCCTCTGGAGGTCTGGACCCCACTGGAAAGTATCTACAGTGAACGCGCGCCGGCAGTTACTGACCTGGGACGTGAACTGCTGAACATTATGATTCAAACTGGCTGGGGCACCCCGGAAAAGGCGCTGGAAGCGATGGTACGTACCAGGGACGCGCTCGGCCTTGATGTTCAGGACAAAGTCCTCGTGTTGGATCCCGCAACCGGACGCGTGGTCTGATGCGGACAGGTGCTGGCGGGCATGTGCCTAGTACAAAACTTTTCTCAAAAACAGGGCAGTCAATACCCTTACTCGTACGCAGGACGCATGATAGCATCGGTCTCCATGCGGGATGTAGATTCCAAACCGTGGACGCTAACGGAAACGGGGCCGTGACCACCCCAGTTTCTGGTGTGCATTGGGCTGAATCGGGGATACATTTCGGGAAACGAGCGTGACGACGCGCATAACAGGAGGTTCGCACAGGGGACGCCGGCTGAGGACCACAACCGGGCCGGGTCTGAGGCCCACGTCCGAGCGAGTGAGAGCGGCCCTGTTCTCAATCATTGGCAGCGATGCCGTAGATGGTAAGAGAGTGGCTGACCTGTATGCTGGGACTGGCGCCATCGGACTCGACGCACTGAGCAGGGGGGCTGCGTGGGTCGATTTCGTGGAGTCCAACCAAAGGCTCTGCCGGGAACTCACTGAAAGGCTCCGCTCCTGGTCTTTGGATGCCAGGGCCAAGGTGTACAGGAGAAGGGTTCTGAGTATGCTGCGAAACCTGCCCGGGGGATATGACCTGGTAATAGCGGACCCTCCATACGAATCGAGAGAACTTGCAGACGTCGTGGACAGGCTGCAAGCGACGCGGATGGTCAATCCGGGGGGACTGGTGGTACTGGAACATCGAACGGGCCTAAAAGAAGAGTTCGCAACTGGAAGATTTGAGTTGGAAACCACGAAGACATACGGAGACACGGCGCTGACTGTGCTTTCAGCCGGAGTTGCAGATGGCTAGAGCGATCTACCCTGGCAGCTTCGACCCCGCACACCACGGGCACATCGACATTGCCAAGCGCGCCGCGAAAGTTTTCGATGAGCTCATCATTGCGGTTTACAAGTCGCCGCCTACAAAACGGCTGTTGTTTTCAACCGAAGAACGCGTGGAGATGTTCGCAGAGTCCGTCAAGGACACTCCCAACATCAGCGTCGTCCCGTTCACTGGTCTGGCGCCTTCGGTTGCGCGCGACAACGGAGCAGAGTTCATTGTTCGAGGTCTCCGGGCCGGATTTGACTTTGAGCTCGAGTTTGAAATGGCGCTCATGTGGCGTCACATCGCACCGGATATCGACGTGAGTCTGCATCATGAGCTCGCTACAGTACCAGTTTATGTACTCCAGCCGGATCAAGGAAGTGGCCACATTGGGGGCGAACGTTTCCGAAATGGTCCCGCCGCATATAGAAGAAGCACTACTCAAGAAGCTGGAATAACTGATCAGTCCGCGACAGGCCAGCAATATCGACTGACGACCGCAAGTCAGATATAACCAAGGAGGGAACAGGTGGACTTTGAACAGGCATACGGCGAACTGCAGAGACTATACTCCAGCGCCAATCGCGTACCGGGCTCCGCCGGAAGGTAATGGTGGACGCCGACCAGTTCGCGAGCGTAGTCAACGAGCTGCGAACTGCGATGCCGGCTGACATCCAGGAAGCCCAGGAGATCATCCGGCAGAAGGACAGCATCCTGAATCAGGCGTACCTCGAATCGCAGCGGCTGAAGACTCAGATCGAAGAAGAGGTCGCTGCCCAGAAGCACGCATCCATGCGTGAGCACGAAGCGATGGTGGACGAGTCAGTCATCCTGACAAAGGAGATGAGATCGGGGTGCGCGGGGGAGTCAAGGAAGAGGCGCAGGGCGAGGCCGAGGAGATAATCCAGGACGCCCAGCGGCGTGCCTACCGGATAGTCACCGAGGCCGAGGACATCGCTTCCTCCCGTCGCGAAGGCGCGAACCAGTACTCGAGCGAAGTGCTGTTCAGCCTAGAAGAGCAGCTCTCCGAGATCCTCGGACAGATTCGCAGAGGTATCGACACGCTCAGGCCGGAATCCGACATACGGCGCCCGGCAAACACCGACAACATGCACATAGGCGTGTAGTCGGTCAGGCCACTCCGCTAAAGCAGTCGGGGTCGGATAGCCGACCCCGACCACCTGAAACTCGGTGATTCTCAACAGTCAGGCATCGGCACTCAGACAGGCTTGAACGCGCTGATGCTCATGCTGTGAATGCTTGAGCGCCATCCCTCTTCTTTCCAAGGGGCTGACGACACAACCTGCACATCAGTGAACCCGGCGCTCGTCATTCGCCCCAGGTACACATCCTTCATCTCCGTACCGGCAAGGCATGACACCCAGTTCGCAGTGTCTTCAGCCTCTTCCTGAGGTATCTCGTCAATCTCACCAGGTCGGAGACCATCAGTCGACCGCCTGGCCTCAGGACACGAAAGGCCTCGCGGAAGACGACGTCCTTGTCAGGCGCCAGGTTAATCACGCAGTTCGATATGATCGCGTCCACCGTGTCGTCTTCCAGCGGCGTGTTCTCCATCTCGGACAGGTGGAACTCTACGTTGCTCAGCCCAAGCTGCCGGGCGTTGTTCGTGGCAAGATTCACCATGTCCTCGGTCATATCGATGCCGACCACTCTCCCCTGCTCCCCCACGGCCTTGGCAGCGATGAAGCAGTCGATTCCACCGCCGCTGCCGAAATCGACTACCGTCTCACCCTGTTGAAGCGTCCCAATCGCATGAGGGTTGCCGCAGCCAGCGGAGGCAGCCAGCGCCTCAGATGGCAGTCCTTCGGTCTGGTCCGATGCATACAGGGTCAGGATGGAGTCCACATTCGACTCGCTGTCTGAACAGCAATCGGTTGCGCAGCAGGAATCAGCGGAGTTTCTTGCAAGCTCCCCGTACCTCTCGCGCACGACTTCCTTGATTTGAACATCGTCTAGCTGTGTCATAGCGCTCGCTCCCGTAGCTGATTTCGTATCTCTCCCGAGAATAGCACAGAATTCGTTAGCTGCAACATGCTGGTGTTCCCTATGCCCTGCCGCAATCAGCATTCTTGACCGTCTTTAAGTCAACGTGTACCGTCATCGCAAATTCTCGCTAGCAGGAGGGATAGCCAGTGAAGATCACGGACCTGAAAATCTGGGTTACCAGACCGGAGCCGCGGGGCAGATCGTTCGTGTTCTTCAGGATAGACACCGACGAGGGTATGTCCGGAGTTGGGGAAGCGACCAGTTCCGGCGGTGGTGGCAGCATCGTCGTCGGAAGTATGGCCCGATTCCTGCGGGACTCGACTGTCACCGACGACTTCCGCGAATCGATCGTCGGTCAGGACCCTCTTTACATCGATCGCATCTGGCACAGGCTGTATCGCCGGTTCACAGGCGGAGGCGGATTCGGCGGATTCGTGACGACGCTTCTGAGCGGCATAGATATAGCGCTGTGGGACATCAAGGGCAAGGTAGAAGGCAAGCCCATTTACCAGATGTTCGGAGGCCCGATCTGGGACGACGTGCCGATGTACACCCATGTCGCTCCGGGAGACCCGGGGGCCGCGGCACGCCAGGCAAAGGAGCTAGCCGACGAAGGATTTACGGCACTGAAGACCGACCCGTTCATGCCGGAGATGCGACAGCACCACCGACGCTACCTGAAAGGTGAGATCTCAGCAGCCGGAGCGGCCCTCGGGGTAGAGACCATCGCGGCCATGCGGGAGGCTGTAGGGCCGGAGGTTGAGATTCTGATCGACGCGCATGGCAACTTCAACGTGCCTACAGCCATCAGGCTGGCGCGCGCGCTTGAACCGTACGACATCGGCTGGTTCGAGGAACCTGTCCAGCCGAACAGCAACGAGGCCCTCAAGGCCGTGAGGGACGCGGTGGACGTTCCCCTGTGCGTGGGTGAGCGACTCTACAGTCGATGGAACTTCGTCCCCATTCTCAGGGACCGGCTGGCAGAGTACCTGATGCCGGACATTCTATGGTGCGGCGGTATTACTGAATGCGCAAGATCGCGAACCTCGCGGAGTCATTCTACATCCCGGTCAGCCCTCACGACGCAAGTGGTCCGATCAACATCCTGGCCGGAGCGCACACGATGATGACGGTCCCGAACTTCTACAGGCTGGAGTTCAATCACGCCGCCCTGGACGTACACAACAGGCTGATCGACCACCCCCTGGACATTCGCGACGGCGTACTCTACCTCTCAGAGAGACCCGGTCTGGGCGTCGAGCTTGACGAAGAGTTCCTGAACACACACTCCGATCCTGACTGGAGCGGCAATTAGCCGAGAGCGCACCTTCTATCGCTCACGCTGGGCACCCTGGACCGTAGAATGACGTTCCTCCACCTCAGCCATGCCGTTGTCGGACCGATCTGCTGCCATTGCGGCCTGCTCCCTCTGTTGCCTCAACACGCCGCGGTCGACGTTATTCTTCATACGCTCGTACTCTGAGCATACCTCTGCGCCCAGCAGCACAATCAGGCTTCCCACGTACGTCCAGAACAGCAGTACGATCACCGGAGCGATGGAACCGTACACGTTCTGGTACGAGGCGAACCTGTCCAGGTACAGGATGAAGAAGTTCTTGGATATCTCGAACAGAACAGCTCCAGTTACCGCGCCGGGCCACACGTAACGCCAGTACGTCTTGGTGTTTGGCAGAAGCTTGTACATCAGCAGGAAGATGATGATCATCAGGCTGAGCGACACCGCTTGCAGGATTATCTCTCCGATGGTGTGCACCCAAAATTCCGGTACTGGCAGATCGGACTCAAGAATGTGCTCGGAAGTCCTAGCTATGGTTGCGCTGGCGACCGATATGGTGAAGAGCAGGCCGGCGCTGAGCGCCATGAGGAGCTGCCTGGGCTTGTCTATGTAGATCGGGCGGTCATCGGGATGTCCCAGGCGCGGTTGATCGCCCGGTTCAACGCTCCGAACATTGCGCTGGCCGACCACGCATTCCGATGAGCGACATCAACCCCAGTGCGCCCCTCAGGCGAATGACGGCGGCCACGTTGTCCCTCACGAACTGCTCCGAGCCCGGCAGGAAGTTCGCCATCACGTCGCCCATGAGCGTCTGTATTTCCTCCGGCTCTAGGAGGAAGCTCAAGACCGAGATAAGTCCAAGTATGAGTGGGAATATCGAGAACAGAACGTAGTAGGCCACACCGGCGGCCATGTGCGTAATGTCGTCCTCGGCCAGTTCACGGACCGTTCTGATAGCGAGTGCGACAACAAAGTTCTGCCGGATGCGGTCGACTATGCCGCCATAACGTCTGTTGATTCGATCCGATACGCGCTCGACGGCACGTCGAATAGCTCGGACAGAGTCCTGGTCAACCATTGCCGACTGCCGTCCTGAATGCGCTCACAATCTGTTCGTTGCTCTGCCTGAGTATCGTCGTATTCACGGTCAGGTGCGGTGCCATTCGATCTTCTTCACCCGCGCTTACGAATACGCGAAACTCGGCCAGCCGGTTTGCGAATCGTTCGAGTTCCACACCGGACGGCAAGGTCAGCGGGAAGATGTTGGACCCATGCTCGTAGGCGCCTACGCTCAGCCCCGGCGTCGAATTTAGATCGTCGAACAGTCCCCGGGCCTTTAGCATTGCCTCCGCGAACCTGTCCTCGAAGCCTTCAACTCCCTCCAACGCCAACGCTGCGGCCAGGGCTGCGTTGGACAGGCCCCCTCCGAACATCCTGCGATGATGGTACAGGTCGCGACAGAAGTCCTCCGTTCCCGCGAGTATCGCCCCGAACGGAGCGCCGAAGTACTTGTACAGCGACACGTACACCGTGTCGAACATCTGCGAGTAGTCGGACGGTGAGATTCCGGTGGCCGCGCTCATCATGTACAGTCTCGCGCCGTCCAGGTGGGTGGGAATACCCTGATCTGAGCAGAAGGCTGTGACGCCGCGCATCTCGTCGAGGGGCATGATCCGGCCATGCTGCCTGCGCACGGGACTCTCGATCATCAGCGCCCCTACGGGAGTTACGACCCTTCCGCTCGTCGACTCTTCGACAGCCTTTTGGACTTCATCGAGAGTGAAGTAAGGCCGCTCCGCCGCCAGCGGCACCATATTGATCCCGCTTAGCTGCTGAACGCAGTCGCCAGTATCATGATAGAGGTGACTCTGCTCCTGGACGATTACCCGAGGCTTTCCAGCGCACAGCAACCTGATTGCGAGGTGATTCGCGAGAGTCCCGCTCGGCATGAAGACCGCGTCTTCCTTGCCGAGCAGATCGGCGAATCGCTCTTCCAATTCGCGCACGACGCCGCCATTCGAGTAGTTGTCGGCCTCGATTCCGCGACTAGCGACGATCTTGGCTAGTCGCGCCACAAGTCCTTCAGGAGTCTTGGGTTCGCCATCGCCCCGAAATACCACCGCATCGGAGGAGTTGATTCCGTCCTCAACAACACTTTGAGCGCTTGTGCTTCGCACCTGAGCTACCATGACTACCTCCACAGTGAGACATTCTACATGGGAAGAGCAGTCTTGCTCACCTTTCAAGAAATAGGGAATGAAGTGCAAGAACAGTGAACCCACTCATCGTTCCCGCATACGCGGGAATCCAGGAATCGGAAACCACCGTTCGCCATAGTGGACTTGCGCCGGCGATTGAGCTCTTTACCTCTCCCATCTCGGTTGACTGTACCAAACACAGTATGTAGCATCCCGCATCGGAGTTAGGAAGGCGAACATGTCCCATATAGAACTTGTCTGCATCGAGTGCGAAGCGTCTTACGAGGCCGACATGCACACGCTGGGTTGCGAGTCATGCGGCTCGCCCCTGGATGTGTCCTACCTGGAGTCTGACGCCCACACCATGGGTGTCGACGGGCTCAGGATGCCGGTGCGGTTTCATGCGGACCACCCCACCGTGACGTTGGGAGAGGGTCTTACTCCCCTTGTCGAACTGACGAGCATCTCACACGAGATGGCCGGGGTACGAGTTATCGCCAAGCTCGAGTTCATGAACCCGACCGCTCGTTCAAGGACCGCGGCACCGCCACGATGTTGTCCGTCGCCAGGGAACACGGAGTTGAAGCCGTTGTCGAGGACTCGTCCGGGAACGCGGGAGCGTCCGTCTCAGCGTATGCTGCCCGGGCCGACATTTCGGCCCACGTCTTCGCACCTGAGTCGGCGCCTGACGCCAAGATGGGACAGATTCGCGTCTATGACGCCAGTATTCACCCTACGGCTGGTCCGCGGGAGGCTAGCACAGAGGCTGCGGTCGACTTCCAGCGCAGACACGGGATGGTGTACGCCTCCCACAACCTCAGCCCCTACTTTGTCGAGGGCACCAAGACGTTCGGCTACGAGGTAGCCACACAGATGGAAGTGGGCCCGGACCATATAGTGATTCCGGTAGGTAACGGCAGTCTCCTGCTCGGCGCATGGAAAGCGTATCTGGAGCTCATGAGGCAGGGCGCCGTATCAGGGATGCCGAAACTGCACGCGATACAGGCTGAGGCGGTCATGCCAATCGCATCGGAGATCATGGGAACCGAATGGAACCTGGTGCATCAACCATCGCCGGCGGAATAGCAGTCGGCAGACGCTTGCGCCAGGCTCTGAGAGCGATTAGGGAGTCGTCCGGGACATCTGTCCCAGTCACGGACGCCGAGATAACAAGGTGGCAGAAGCTGCTGGCGGCCAGGGAGGGAATCTTCGCTGAGCCGACGTCCGCTGCGGCTTTCGCGGGTCTTCAGTTACTCGTGGAGCGAGGCATCGTGACCCAAGGGGAAGTTGCGCTCGTTCCCGTAACGGGATTCGGGCTGAAGGACACTTTGCCTACGTAGGCGTCAGGGTCCGGCAGTCACCGCCTCCATGGCCATCCTGAATCCCGGAATCGAGCCTTCGAGCGTCCTATCGGTCACGCAGAACGATATTCTGAAGTAACCAGGCATCCCGAACCCCATTCCCGGCACAGTTAAGACGTTGTGCTTCTGGAGCTCTGCCACGTAGGCCACGTCGTCTTCGATCGGAGCCTTCGGGAACATGTAGAAGGCCCCTGCGGTCTGACTAGGTCATAACCGAGTCCGTTAGCGCGTCGTACATGAAGTCGCGCTTGGCCTGGTACTGCGCGATGTCCACCGTGACCGACTGCAGCTTGGCCACGATGTGCTGCATCAGCGCGGGTGCATTGACGAAGCCCAGCGTCCTGTTGCAGAAGATCCAGTTCTCAATAACTCAGCAGCGTCTCGTAATCGGGGGGGAAAAAAAAAACAAACAAAAAAAAAATGTACGGCGACGTACCCAATTCTCTCGCCCGGCAGTGCGAGGTCCTTCGAGTGCGAGGTAGCGACAATCGAACGAGTATGGTGATGGAAGATGTGCGGGTACTCCAGACCGTCGAACAGCAGCCTTCTATATGGCTCGTCACTGACCAGGAATATCTCGCGGTCGTATTCCTCTTCCCTGCGCCGGATGATCTCTCCGATTCTGGACAGAATCTCATCCGAGTACAACACTCCCGATGGATTGTTAGGGGAGTTGACCAGCACGATCCGCGTGTTTGGCCCAATCGTGGACTCCAGGGCCTCCATGTCCGGCAGAAAGTCCTCAACAGGGGGCACTACCTTGCATGCCCCACCGTGGTTGTCGGCATAGAAGAAGTACTCGACGAAGTAAGGCGCAAATATGACCACCTCGTCTCCGGGGTCCAGCAGAGTCTTGAACACTACGTTTAGCGCCCCTCCCGCGCCGCATGACATCATCACGTCGTCAGCGTCGAAGGACAGTCCTCCTCGACAGTCGCCGCGAGTGCCAGCAGCCACCGCGCCGACGAGTCTCCGGGTACCCGGCATTGGGCATGTACCTGTGCATTCCCGACGCTGGATCGTCTGCAATATGCCTCAGTTCATCGAAGAACTCTGAAGGCGGTTCGGTCACAGGGTTGCCCAGCGACAGGTCGAACACGTTCTCCGCGCCATACTTCTGGCTGAGAATGATGCCCTCTTCGAATATCTTTCTGATCCAGGAGCCCTGCTCCATGAAGTCATGGATCTTCTTGGCAACGGCCATAATGTATCTCCCGACGAGTGTTACCTTGGGGACTGTACCCACGGACAACATGGCTGTCAAACGCCCTGACCGAAGCTCCTCACACCTCACCTTGACACTCTCTCAGATCGTTGGTTAGGCTAGGATTTACCCTCGCAGTCGCAGCTATTTGCGACTCCCGCATTCGTGGGCCTGTAGCTCAGTGGTAGAGCGGTCGGCTCATAACCGATTGGTCGCAGGTTCGATCCCTGCCGGGCCCACTCTTTCCGGCCAAGCTGTAATGTATTCGTGGCACTTGACCCCTGGCGGACTCTGTTTCTTCCAGACCGAGCCCTCTGATAAGGAGCCGGTCACCCAAAGGGCCCAGTGCAGGCCGATGCCCTCTCAACGATTCTGTTCGAGTTGGAGCTCGCTTGGGAGGAGGTAGGAGAGAGGAGTCACCCGACGCGGGTCGCTCTACCAGCCACCTGTGTTGAATTTAGCATCAAGGGAGAGTCGCATACAGCTAGTCGCCCCGGGTCTCCGACACTCCCATCCCGCGTATTTCACGCCGCAAACCCACGACAACGCTAAATGCCGCCATTAACGCTCCTGAGATCATGAACACCCACTCCAGGCTCAGCTTTATCAGCGCGCCGGAAGCCGCAAAGGAGATTGGTGAAAGACCAACCGCTGAAACTGTCAGGAGGCTCATCACCCGGCCCAGCATCATCTGCGGTGTACGGGCCTGGAGCCACGATGTGAGAAGTATATCCAAGTATCCGCCCATTACTCCGACTGCCAACGCGATCCCCACCGCGGACCACATAAACCTCAGGAATCCGAAAGGCATCATAAGCACGCCGGACAGGGCAAAGATCGCAATCAAAATCGGCCCCAAACGGCGCCTTGGCGCGGGAAGTGTCCCTCCGAGAACCGCGCCCAATACCGACCCCCCAGCGTACGCGGACGTGATGATCCCCAATGCGAGCGCGCCTTCCGTAAATCTCATTTCGGACAGAACGGGAATTCCAACTGTCACCGGTCCCTCTATGAGAAGTTCAACCCCCGCGATTAGCAGAAATATGGCGAGCATCGCCCCGTCCGCCCGCACATGGCGAATCCCCTGTGCAATGGATGAAAAGATACCCGGTTCTTCGGCGTCCTTGCTTCTCGATTTAGTTCCGGAGTCGTCTATTCGCAGAAGCAGAAGCATTAGCGACGAGGCCAGGAAGGCAACAGCCACCACCACGAAAGCGAGTCCTATCCCTGTCCTATCCGAGCTGCTCGCCGATGACGAGCCATCGCTGAAGAACGCTATGAGACTGCCGGCCAGTGCAGGGCCAATGAAACCACTCAGTTCCGTCGTCGTGTGCACCACCGCATTGGATTGCCGCAGCAGTCCGAGAGGAACAACGCGCGGCAGTATCGCCAGATGGGCAGGATAGTAGAACGCGTCCGCTATTCCCTTGAGTAACGCGAACAGGTATATGATCCACAGACTCGTCAGGCCCGTCAGAACCAGCGCGGCCAGGGATGCGACCAGTACAATACGCATAGCGTTGCTGAAAAGCATGATTAGCCGCGGGGAGTATCTGTCAGCAAGCGACCCACCGACCAGCATGAAGAAGAGGGTGGGAATGCTACCCACCGAGATCACAATACCCACGGCAAGTGGATCTCCAGTGACCAGCAACACTAACCATGGGAACGCAATAAGGTCGAAGTGGTCACCGATGGCAGACAGGCCACCGGCTCCCCAGAGCAACCCGAATTTCCGCGTTTTGACCAGCTCCCAGAATGAAAGGTTCTCCGATTGTTCAGTCATTGGTCCTTCTGGTCGACATGTTGATTGGCTGCCAGTAACTTCATAAGGCAGTTGGGCCGTCAGCTTACTACACCCTGAGACAGGACTATTCCCCAGCAAGGCATCCAGGAAATCAACGATGGTCGCAAAGGTCAAACTCCTCTCTGGCGGCAACCCCAGATCGCTAAAGCCGACGGTGACGCTCCGGTGCAGTCCTACATCGCGGCCATGCCGGAATGGAAGAGCGATGCAGGACGGCGCCTCGACGACCTCATAGTGCGCACTGTGCCCAACGTGCGAAAGGCCGTCAGGTGGAACTCGAGCCAGGTGTGGCTAAACGGATGTTTGAAACCAAGGCTCACCTCTCCACCTTCGTCCAAGGCCTTGGGCTAAAGAAGGAGACCCCCGCCGACCTGCTGGAGAAGCTTAACCTTAGAGAGCAAGATTGGGCCCCCCAAGTTTCGTCACTGGGGCACACGCCGGACCCGCTCCCCCGGCCAGGCGCCGGGCACGACGTGAGCAAGGGTGTCGGCGCAGGCTTCAACCGCCAAGGGCGGGGCAGACCAACAGCAAACCGAGACGCTGAGGCTGTTCTAGGGGCCGAACCCTGCCTTCCAAGGGCCGGTCGGCGCAGGACGCTGGACCGAAATGCAAAAGGGGCAGCCATCGTATTCAAGCGGTGGATGCCCCTGCCTGACCATGTATGGGAGCCTTTTTTGTTGCCCGGAAATACCTGCCTTTTTACTCCTCTGGATGTGAAGCTGCCAAGTAGCCGTTGCCCAGGACTGCCCTAGCTCAGGAGGACGCCCGGTTTACGCGGGCTTGCCTCGCGGTCAATTGACCAGGAAGGTGTCAAAGGAATAGTAGGCCAACTCCTTCCCCGCTTCGACCTCGTCGTCGGGGAATACGTAGTAGATTGTGACACTTGTGCCGCCATCGGACAGGTAGAGCAGCACACTGGTAGCCAAAACGTCTCCATCAAGCTCAAATACGTACTCCAATAGGACTGCCGGGAGGTCCTGCGCCGTCTGCACAGTTACTCTCGAGCTGGATTCCGCGCCATCTTCAAGATAAGCAGATTCAACTGAGACAGCGAGCTCCGTCAAGGAGACAAGAACACCCTCCTCAACAAGAATCCCCATGAAGCCGTTCCCTTCAGGATCGATAGCAAAGTAAATTAGATCTTCTACTACCTGGTCCGGCTCTTCTTTCCAATCCGCCGGCACCTCCACCTGGAAGTAGCCCGACGGGTCTTCGAAGACCAGCATCTCCCCAAAGGGGCTATCCACTACCTGCCGTTCGACTACCTGTGGGCCGGTTGGCACGTACACCGTTTCTGAACCAACCGGCGCCTGCTCGACCGACAAGTAGTAGCCGCCGAACCCACCGCCCACTGCGTCGCCGACGGTGATCAAATACTCTCCCGTAGCTGGCGCGCGATAGACTAGCTCTGAGTTTATCCCGAACAATCCGCCGCCGCTGTCGTCGTCAAAGACGAGCTGGTCCTCTCGGGAGTTAGGAAAGTCGACGTATAGGAGGGTATCCACATTGATGGAGTCAGTGGAGATTCTTACCGTCTCCCCCTCCTCAAGGCGGAGCGAATACCAATCAACATCGAAGGGGAGGTCGATGTTTCCGACAACGGTTTCTCCTACCGCGATGGTCCGGCCGTCATCCTGGTCGTGGAAGGGCTTCAACCTGATGGTGCTGGTCAGGTCAAATGCGGATGATTCCCCCGTGAACATCTCGACTTTCAGGTAATGAATCCCGTCCGCCGCCAGCTCCACTACGCCGGACTCGATACCAGTCTCGCCGTCGTCCACTTCCAGGAGCAACCCGTATGCGTCGTAAACCCGGAACACCCCATCTCCCCGGCCTTCGATCTCGGCTTGGAGTATCGTTCCTGCCGCTGCATCCAAGACGAAGGTGCGGCTATCCCAGATATTGGCCAACTCCACACCGAACTCGAAGCCACCGCCCCCGGCTGAGAACCTGCGGTCACCCTGCCCGGACATGAACTCGCCCTGAATCAGCTTCTCCACGATGGGCGCGATATCAGCCGCCGATGTCGCCAGCCCGAAACCGGCTTCGCTAAAAGAAAATGTGGAGATGCCGACCACTCCGCCCTGGGAGTTGACCAGCGCCCCACCGCTCTGACCGCCCGCAATAGCGGCGTCGGTCTGCAGATAGGTCATTCCAAGCCGCTCCCACTCGCGGAAGCGCGAGAGGATGCCGCGGGTGATGGTAGGCTCCGGGAACTCTTCCAATTCGGCGGGATATCCCAGTAGAAACAGCTCGCTGCCGGGGACCATGCCCTCTCCATCTTCCGGGTTAAATGGCAAGGCGGAAACATCTACCGGTCCCAGCACCGCCAGGTCTGCGATGGAGTCCCATCCTACGACCGGCACATTCTGAAACTCCGTGCCGTCGGGGAAGACAACCCGGACTGCTCCATAAAGCCATACCACATGGTAATTGGTGACCACGTAACCGCCTTCAATCAGGACGCCGCTGCCCGTACCCGCTGGCGATTCTATGAAGGGTATCGATGGGGAGACTAGGGCATACACTTCTGCGGATGACATTTCCGCTACAGGGATCGGCGTGGGCGTGTCTGGTGGAGTGGCGGTCGGAGTAGCCACTAGTGCTGGAGATGGGGTGTTTGTAGGCACGGGGGGTGGAGTAGCCGTTGGCGCCGGCGTAGGGGTGTTCGTTGGAGTGGGGGCCGGAGTATCCGTTGGCGCCGGTATGGGGGTGTCCGTTGGCGCGGGGGCCGGAGTATCCGTTGGCGCCGGTGTGGGAATATCACTGGTTACCGGGCGTGGGCGCCGGATTGTCGCCACAGGCGCCTAGAACGACGGTGATGACCAGAACTGTCAGGACTGCGAGCCAGCGGATAGGAAGAGTGGGGTAAGGTCATTTCAGTAGTCTCCCCTTTATCTTGTGTTGGAATGCCGGGCGCGAACCTGGCAAAGGAGCTTGGCTCATCGGAGGACTGGAAAGGGTGAACTTCCGGTCAGGAGTATGGCGAAGACTATCGTGCCAGGCCCAGCAAACCTATTGTGGACTCCGACATTCCCACTCCCATTGGGCGAAATGGAGTGGCGATTCAACGATCATCACCATGTTGCCTTTCCATTTGCGACACCGTAAGGTTCGTTTATACCTATTTGAGTAGGTACATTCCTACTTGGGGTACATCCGAACCTTGGCGCCGACGACAAGCGGCATACACTACTGATGGAGTCGATGCTTGTCTTTGCCGATGACACGAGCCGATGCTGCCGTAAAGCTCGGTCGGGCGCTCAATCGGACTGGTACGGACGACCTGCGGTACAGCGTGAGGATTTCGGTATGGGTACGATGGTTCTTGCTAATTGCATGGTTGTTGCAGTTCAACTATCGAGTCGACCTGGAGGATCCAAACTACATTCCGAACACTGTGTTCGCCACCTTGCTGCCGGCGCTGAACGGCTACGTTCACTACCGCACCGAGTCGAATCGGACGGTGACGTTGCGCTGGGTGCTCGCTCTCAGCACCATGGACGTAGCGATGATTACGGCCGGGCTGGTGATATCCGGCGGGTTCGCGAATTCTTTCTTCACGCTGTACTACCCCACTCTTGCCATATTCGCCGTGGTGTTCACGTCCATCAGGCTCAGCTTCGCTTGGGTTACGATGGTAGCCGTCGTGTACGCGGTGCTGAGCCTGATAGTGAGCCTAGCCTCGATTTCGAGATCAAGGAGAGAAAGATAGATCAGAGGAGAGAATGCTCGTGAACGGCAAGGAGCTCCAGCGGGAGCGAATCGAGCTCTCGCAGACCATCCACGACACGATTGCGCAGTCCACATACCTGATCGGCCTGGGCCTGGAGACCGCTACCGAGCTTGCGGACGAATCGAACCGGATCTGATCGACAAGCTCGAGGCGACGCATGCGTTGTCGAAGGCGACCATGTGGGAGTTGAGGCATCCCATAGATGCAGGGCCTATCTTTGAGGGACGCGATCTCGGCCGCGTGCTACGGTCGCACGCCTCTACATTCACCACAATCACGTCGATCCCCACCGAGCTGGTCCAGTCCGGCAGGGAGCCGTGGCTTTCCACGGTCACACGAGGAATGCTGTTCTCGATAGCCCACAACGCGATGACCAACGCCTTCCGGCACGCGCGCGCCGGCACGGTCGCAATTGTGCTGACCTTCGAGGATGATGAGCTCCGAATGTCCGTATCGGACGACGGGACCGGCCTCCCCGAGGACTACTCGGATCGCGGCCACGGCTTCAGAAACATGAGAACGGACGCCGAACGAATGGGCGGCAGGCTCGAAGCGGCCCCGGGCGAGTCCGGACGCGGCACGACCATAACCTGTGTGGTTCCGTATGACACCCGTCAAGGAGATCGGTGACTTGGCCCCAACCACACAGATCAAGGTGATGCTCGTGGACGACCACGAGATCATGCGGGACGGCCTCCGAGAGGTTCTGGAGCGCTCGGGCGATTCGAGTGGTGGGCAGGCACGCCGCCCACGGAGACGGTCGCGGCGCTTGTGAGGGTGCTCAGAGTCTCAAGCCCGACGGCTTATCATGGACGTCATGATGCCGCTCAAGAACGGCATCGACGCCTGTCGCGAGATCACGGAGATGCTGCCGGATACCCGGGTGCTCATTCTGACGGCCTCCACGGAGGAGGAAGCAGTGATGGAGGCGGTCGCCGCGGGCGCGACGGGATACCTTCAGAAGTACTCCGGCAAGGAGAAACTCCTCGTCACGGTCCGGAACGTTGCCGACGGCGAGTACCACATACCCGGCGACGTGATAAGGCGGGTGTTCGCCGGATTTCGCGCCATGTCGGAACAGATTAACATAGAGAGATGGGCAGGCTGACCGCGCGGGAGCGGGAGATTCTCGCGCTGTTTGCACAGGGCTGTCCTACGCGCGCATCGCGGAGGCCAGGGCAACAAGCCGCTGACCATCCGAAACGCCATCTACGGCATCCAGGACAAGCTGGGGATCGAGACGAAACAGGAGCTGGTGGTCTGGGCTGTGCGACACGGCCTGCTGGATGATAGCCAGATCGGCGGATGATGCCGGAAGTCTATCGAGGCTCGGCCGACTGGGAGAGCGGGGCGTACGTCCAGCTCGCGTAGAACCCGCCGGTCGAAGGGGCTGAAGGGTCTGGGGCCCCAAGAAGCCGGGGAACCTGCGGACCCTCCGTACCCACCTACGGAGACTCCGCGGCAAGCTGGGCGAGGACGCCAGCGACCCGACCTATTTCTTTGCCGAGCCGAGGGAGTCGGGTACCGGATGAGGAAACCTGAGACAGAGACGGAATGACCGTCACCCTCTTGGCTGGGGCTGGGTAATGCGCGGTGACACCGCCATGACCAGCCTTGTCTTCGCAGGGGTGCCACAGCGATAATCGGGCTGGCGCAGGTCGAGGATGGAGAAACGAGCGCCCGACCCTGAGGGGTCAGAGGCTCGTTAGGAGCCTATTCGTCGGCTGACAGACTCCCTATATAAGGACCTCCCAGCGAAAAGTTCGCAATTCAGTCTTACTAGGCCCACCAGAGTCTGACAACCGCATACTTCCCCTGAGAAATTCAGGCGCGAGAAGAGCGGATTGGAGTAAGCCCAATGCCCGGCAAGACGTCCAGGAAGTCACCGAAGACCGCAAAGGTCAAACTCCTCTCAGGCGGCAATCCCCAGATCGCGAAGGCCGACGGTGACTCTCCGGTGCAGTCCTACATTGCAGCCATGCCGGAATGGAAGAGCGACGTTGGATGTCGACTCGACGACCTCATAGTTCGCACTGTGCCCAACGTGCGCAAGGCCGTGAGGTGGAACTCGCCCTGGTATGGGGTCGAGGGCGAAGGGTGGTTCGTGAGTTACCACGTCTTCACCCGATACGTGAAGGTGACATTTCTGAACGGCGCGTCGCTGAATCCGGAAGCCACCGGTTCAGCAAGGGGAGGACCCAGGAATAAACGAGCGCCGCGAAGCTGACCCACCCCGCGTCTACTATGCGAATGGCGCCCGACGATGTCAGAGTGGTCTGGGGTAGATATCTACGAGGGTGAGTTGGACGAGGAGCAGATGGAAGAGTGGTTCCGGCAATCGGCCGCCCTGCCTGGCTGGCATGGCTTTGACACACTGTAAAGTCGGGTTTACGGGCTGCCTAGACTTTCTCGTCGCCGCCTAGCCGCGCAGGTAGCGATCAAAAAAGTCGGCCATGTCCAGTAGCATCTGCCGGACATTGGGAAGTGTTCCCACATAGAAGCCATCGTTAGGGTACACCTTGTATTCAGCCGTCTTGTAGTGTCGCTTCATCTCCACAGCGAAGTCTCGTGACGTTTCGGGCCAGTCCTCCCTTCCCTCACCGTGAAGGACGAAGGTCGGTGTGGTCGCGTCCTTGACTCTGTAGAAGGGTGAGCATCGATACCAGACGTCCGAGTGCTCCTCAAAAGTACCGAACTCATGCTCCAGGAGCTTCATGTGCCGCAGCTCTAGCTGGTGGCGCAGCGTCGGCCAATCGCTGTAGCGGACATAGGGGCTGCTGCTTGGAATACGCTTGGGGCAAAGGTGACTGCACACATAGATAGGCTGGCGCCGTAGCTCGTTCCCGTAATCCCGATAGCCTGCGGGTCTACGTATCCCAGCCCCTTCAGGAACTCTGCCCCGGCAATGGCATCCTTCAGGTCGCCCCCACCCCAGTCCCTGTCGTTCAGCTCTTCGAAGAACTTACCGTAACCCGAGCTCGGACATTGGGCAATAGCACCACGTAGCCCCGCTGGACGAAGTATTGAACGTAGGGCTGGAAGTCGTCGCTGAACTGGTTCGTAGGTCCACCGTGGATGAAGAGTAGTCCCGGGTACTTCTCACCTTCATCCCGGCTCTCAGGCCCATAGAGGTACGCGTGGATGACGAGGCCGTCGAAGCTTTCGTATTCGACCTTTTCAGGTACAGCCATACGCTTAGGTAGGCTGCTCTCTATCCCAGCGTCAGTCAGCTTCTGAGCTCGTCCGTCTTCCAAGGTGACGACCCAGAGTTCCGACGGAGACGTTGGAGTCCCATATCTGAAGACCACACGCGAGCCATCCGTGACCACTGCGGCGCCGAGCATACTCCCATCTCCGGTGAGAAGAGCGTGCGGGAACCTCCCAATGAGGCATCTGCCACCCTCAATTCCAGGGTGCCGTTGTGGTTGGATGTGTAGACAACCTGCTGACCTGCGGGAGACCAGGCAGCGTCGCCCTGCTCTGCCTCATCGGGCGCGAGGGGGTCCGGCTCGCCGCCGGTAGGCACAGCCCAGATGTTTATGTAGCCACTTCTTTGACTTCGAAGAGGACCCGCTCACCGTCAGATGACACCAGTGGATATCCGAAGGTCGCCCCGTAGCTGTAATCAAAGAAGTCAGTATCCTCGACGACGGTATTCTCTTCACTGCCGTCCAAGGCAATTCTGAGGACTTCGTGGTCCTCCCACTTGTCATCCAGCAGGACGTACAGGATGTGCTGACCATCGGGAGCAAATACCGGATTCACGGCATAGAGAGGTCCATCGGTAAGCCGTGTAGCCCTCCCTGAGGGAACCTCCACCAGGTAGATGTCATACGAGCCGTACCGATTGCAGGAGACAGCGAGGCTCCCACCGTCGGGGGCCCAGTTCATCGAGTGGATGCGGCCACCCAGAGACGTGAGTTGGAACCCGGCGTCTCCGGTGACAGGCCACAGCCACACCTCATCGTTACCGCTCTTCCTGGAAATGCAGGAGGCGGAGGCGCCGTCGGGCGACCAGAGTGGAATGCGAGGAGCCGCACCCCCCATCTCACGGCTCCCACGTCCTGGTTGGAATCCTCCATCGGACGGAACGCTCCACAGCTCGGCCGAGTCT